TCAGAATTAAATGGTATGCATAATCAATAGGCAGCTTAACTTGACCAAACCAGGCCTTCCATCCATTAGGTTTATCATCAGATATTAAGAGCCCCTTTTTTCCCTCTATTCTTAAAATGCCCAGAACAAAATCATTTTTTCTACTTTTTCTGTCTTATTAGATTTCATATTTTACATTTTCTTTCCCACTTTCAGCAAAAAAAAATGAGCTATCAAAGTTGGTTGAGAACCAAGACATTTCATAACTAATGCATTTTAAACCGAATATGCAGAGACAAGGTAGAAAATGCAGAATTTTAAAGTCCAGCATCTACAAACATTTAAAAGAAATTAGAAAATGGGGCATAATATTCTTCTCTGAGGTCAGGAAAACTCACAGATGATACTAACTGAGAATCTTTATAGAAGAATGTGAAACATTATACCAGCACCTGAACCAATATATTCACAATACAAACTTAAGGACAACCGGAAAAGATCAATATAAGAATAGAGATACCTACGAAGCACAAAAGCATTTAATTTGCTGTTACACTAGAATCCAATAGGCAAAGGAAGTAAATAAAGGTCTGATTAATTTTATTAAAAAAAAGGGGAAAAAGAAAAGAAAAGCTGAATGTGCATAGCATGTGGAAAAAAGTTCAGGCAATCTGTAAAACCAAAATCTTGGACAGCAGGAACTTCCTACCCCAATGTAATTTGTAAAGCAAAGCCACCATAGCATATAAATGATCTTACCTGAAGCTCTGCTATATCACGGATTTCCATATAACCTAAATGAAGTTTGCTCCAAAATGATCTGTAAACGTCGATCACTGAAATGAACAAGAAAAATCAAAAAACTTTTACTCAGAAAATAGAAGAAGTTGCAGGAGCTTGCACTGTACAGTTTCCTAAATATTTATTATCTAACAATTGCAAGATCTACAAGCACATAAAACAGAAAAAGACTCACATTATGTAGCTGCAAAAGTTATCCTCGTAAAACTGGGCCCAAAAGCCTGCTGGCAACAAGGAGGTATAATAGTCAGGTCCAAAGCTGAAGCACTTGAAACCCCAAACACTAACTTTTCGAAGCCTTCAGAAAGCTAAGATAAAAGGTTATGACCAGGAAGTAGACGATAAACAATGTACCTCTCATAAACATGCAAAAATGCTCCACAAATGTCACAAACCTGTAGCTTTTGATCGGTCTAAAATAACATTAGATCAAAATGGTTAGTGCAGATGAAATATTACTCTATAAATGGACTAAAAAGAATTTGACTAAAATCAAAGGAGATTTCGTACAAATAAGGACACAACCTTTCAAAACTTTTCTAATTAAGAATATGACCTTTTTCTTTACTAATCAAGGCTATCACCTTTCAAAGTTTCTGAAGGATATGACCTTTGCAGGTAAGGAAAAAGGTCATTTTATTAATTAGAAAAGTTTTGAAAGGTTGTGTCCTTATTTGCATGAAATCTCTTACAGAAGGTGCTGTTCATCCACTAACTACACAAATTAAATTCCACATTTTCCTTGTAAGGTCACAGTACATCTAAGTTTTCATATCTAGTTTTTTCTTAAATGGATCAACCTTTCCTTTCTATGATACTGAAAGAAAGAAATACAGGACTCACAATGCGAACATCAGCAATGTGTATTTTGAGGAATCCAGAACAGGCTCCTGTCTGGCAGGAAGCTGAGCAGATGCGGAAAAACAAATATCCACAAATAAGTGATAATGCAAACCATCAAGGAAAAGAACAGTATAAGTTAATAGTATAAATCCATCTACAGATATAACACTATTAAGTTCAGAAATTGAAACCTTTTTTAGTGCTTCAGCCTCTTCTAAAACTTTTTGTACCTCATCTATGATCCCTTTCTCAACTAAAAATCATTTAGAGAGAGGTGTGTTTCAATTACCACTATAAAATACATATATCCCTGAAATCTTTGTACCACAAGGTACAATAAAACACATTTAAGCACAATTTTCAAAAAAATAAAATAGATTTCCAAATAATAAAAATCCTAATCGCAAGGAACCTTTTTTTAGTACAACTGGCAGCTTTTTTCCTATTGATATCAATCAGAAAGACCATTAATTCTAGGCTAACTTAAGGAACAAGAAGCCTTTCAATCATAAGCAAGTCTTCAGTTCGACGATTTATAAGTTTAATTCATCTTTTATAATTTAGAGATATTTTGGTAACTTCAGTTTTTCTAATATCCTTCTGTACAGTTTCAATGAAAGCCTTCTAAAGGCATTGTTAATGTAAAGCACTGAGTGTTGAATAAAAAGAGAACAGAAAAGCACAGAGTTTTTATCAGCCATTGGCCATTGTTTTGGAAGGAAAGAGGAAACAAATTTTCAGGCAGGTTGGTTTTTACTGAGGAAGGGTGTAAGCACACATATAAAGGAATATAAATCAGCATAATAAAAGATTCAGAAACAGCTTAAGGATTACCTATATCTCATTTCTAGGAATTTGAAGGCAAACAAATAAACTTAAAATTAAAAAAAAAGAAAAAAAAAAGAAAAAAAAAAAGGTTATATAGCTATAGCATATGCAACTTAATATATGTTGATAGTCAATATGTTTCACTTCGTTTTACAAACTTAATACACAGAGTTCAGGTAACTTGAGACTTACCAAGATCCTTAGCTTTCTTCAACTTTTCATTTATCATTTCCTGGGTCCGAGGATCATGTGCAGGTACAGGCAATGGTGCCAAAGGTAGAGGGTTTGGCAATGGTTGAGGCAAAGATGCTCAGTCTTTATTGAAAGCATCCAAAAGCAGAATGGACTGTAACAACAACAGAACATCATATATAATAAGAGACAAAATGTTATCCAAGATATCAGGAACTTTATGCACATTTAATATCAAGGGAATCCTGAAATGAAAACATTAATATTTTCAGTGATGTCGTGAAATGACAATTCCTACAAAAGAATCTTTTTTAAAGCCTCTAATCTTTTTTAAACATTATCTGCTCTTTTAGTTCTGAGCTCTTTTACTTCTTCTAGAGCTCGTCTTTTAAGATATGTCTTGCCTTCAAGATCTGCTATTTAGAAACAATCATGTACATCACTTAAGAGCTAATATTAACTAAAGACGGGGCCAAAAAAGATAGTTACACAACATTAGTGGTGTAAGTACAACAATTATCACTTGGGAAAAAAAAAAAAAAAAGCTTGCAATAAGGCTTACAAATATCGAACATGATATGCTTTACTACTTACTAGAAGGCGAAGTAACACAATTTTTTGAATTTCATATAATCAATGAAATTTAATATATATTTAAAACCCTTAAACAAGAGAGATTCTCAAGAATTTTCGAATTTTCATTTTTACAAATGGCCCCAACAAAGTTAAAACACGACACCTCAACAAACTTTGTACTTCTAAGCTGCCACTTAATGGCATCCAGGATGATAAGAATGATTAACCATTCCTTGATGCTATTATCAAGGTCATCAAGGATATGAAAGGAAACATAGCCTCACAGAATGTTTGAGAGCAAGAAATTAAATAAAGGAAGTTTCTCGCCTCCCCTTCCTTCCCCTTCGTTTCCTTCAAAACAAATACACTCTTAGTTTGAATCCAATCCAACCATATTGGTAATCTTAACTATCCATATTAAATTTAAAATAACAGTCTTTTCACTCTAAAATTTAATTGTTCTCCTAAAACAACTTAAAAAATATAAACTTCCAACATTGGGGAAAGCAGTTGAACTCTAACAACAGTTATCCCTCTGTACCACATAATTAAAATCTTAGAATTTATGAAACCTAATGAACCAGACAAACAAAACTTCACAACAATCATTGCAAAATTGGACAGCACCTTGAACCATGCACATAAAGTACTCTTAATCAATTGGCAGGACAGACTAATGGACGGTAATGCATCTTTTTCAAATTCAAGAGTCCCACCACGTTGGATATAAACCTCATCAAAAAATAGTACCAGCTGGTCCCCTTTTATGTATAACCTAGGAAAGTGAAATAAAATCTAAAACTTAACATCAAAACTTGACAAAAAGAAAATCATAAAAGCAAATATGATAAAAAAAAAAAAAATGAAGTTACATGCTTACCATGTTAATGTGACTTAGCAGAAAAAAATAAATAAATAAATATTTTCTCAAAAGAAAAAGTTTTCAGCTTTAAGCGAGAAATGGAGCCCAATTACGACACAATCTAGTGCAAATAAGAGATACCATATTGGTCAGCTTCCTTCAATTTCCCCTTAGCTTTGAAAGCTCTAGTACTTCTGGTGTCTGTTGCATCAACATAAAAAATAAATCATTAAGTACCAAGTAGGGGAAAGGTCTGCCAGATCAAATTACAAAAAACAAACCAGAAACTTATACAAGACCTGAGTAACTTCAGTGAGTGATATAGCAATAGCAGCCTTTGAATCCTCATCCTCGAGGCGCTTGAGAAATCTACCAATTTTCCTATCACAGTCAAAAATGAGCCTGTCAATAGCATCTTTCAACTCTCTGTCATAGTTATCGATGCCTTTTGCCTTAGCCTTTTCATATCTAAGAAGGGTTAAGAAAACACAAGGAGAAAAATAGAAACCACGAAAAGGTGGATACCATTAGCAGAGGCATTACTTTTTAAAATCAACAATAGAGTACCTACAACTAAAAAGGAACAACA